GATGATTATGATGACGATGAAAGCGCTGAGGCAATAATAAAAGAGTCACACGACATTTACGCGGGAATAAATAATCATAGGGTTCGTGACGTCACAAATTACGTCAGAGTCGGTCATGATAACGATGACGACGACGATGATAATGATGATAATTTTAAAGATAGAAACTCTACTGCATATGTTTTTACTACTACCTCCACTACTACTACTACTACTACAACTACTTCTACTACTTTTACTACTTCTACTACTACTACTACTACTACTACCATTTTTACTATTATCAATACTACTTCAACTAATGAAAATAATAAAAATACTAACACAACAACTACCACTACTACTGCAACTACTACTACTACTACTACTGCCACTACTACTATTACCACTACTACAATAGCTACTTTAAACATGATTACTTCTAGTGATAATAATAACAATAACAATAATAATAATAACAACAATACTACTACTACTACTACTACTACTACTACTACTACTACTACTACTACTACTACTACTATTACTACTATTACTACTACTACTACAATAGCTGCTACAATTATGATTACTTTTAGTGATAATAATAACAATAATAATAATAATAACAACAACAATAGTAATAATAATAATAATAATAATAACAATACTAATAATAATAATTGTGACGGTAAGAGGTGTAGCGTCCGTATCGAAACAGCTGGAAGGGATGAGATGAATAGAAATAAAAGAAATAAAAGAAGCACTACTATTACTACTGCTGCTGCTACTACAACTGCCACTGCTGCTACTACAACTACGACTACTACTAATAATGATGATAATGATGATGGCATCAGTGATGATGATGATGGTGGTAGTGGTCATGAGCTGCGGATTAAAAGCAGTCATTATATACCGGTGGAGTTGGACGATGATGATGATGATAGTCAATATAAGGATGTTAGTAATGGTAGTGATGATGAAGATGATGAGGAAGATGGTGATGAAGAAGAAGATGATGATGGGGTTGCTGGTGATGATGAAGATGGTGATGAAGAAGAAGATGATGATGATGGGGTTGCTGGTGATGATGATGATGAAGATGGTGATGAAGAAGAAGATGATGATGATGGGGTTGCTGGTGATGATGATGATGAAGATGGTGATGAAAAAGAAGATGATAATGATGGGGTTGCTGGTGATGATGATGATGAAGATGGTGATGATGAC